TTCTCACAAAATCATCAATCTCTCTCATTTCTCAAACTCAAATTGAAGTATTCAAGTCTTCACTCATATCTCATTTCTCAAACTCAAATTCTTAATTCAAGTTAAATCATGCCTGGTGATTCTAGAGTGCGCCAATTTATTTTGGAATACTTTAATGTGGTAGAAGAAAATGAATAACTTTACATAATAAAGTGCAAGAACTGTGATCGAGTCTTCACTCATTGTCCAAAGTTGGAGGGCACATGTTGTTTAAGGATGCATATAAAGAGTTGTCTTGTGCGTTCTCCAGACATTCGTATTTAAGATTTTAAGTTGACTTGAGACAATTTGTGTTATTTTAAAATTATTAGACGTATTATGCTTAATGTTTTAGTTTGTTAGATTAATTTGAAGTATTATGTTGAATGCATTGAACTTTAATTTGAAGTATTATGTTGAATGCATTGAACTTTAATTTGAAGTATTAAATGTAAACTTTAATAATTGCAGTTTTGATACCGAATTCATCTTTATATATATATGCGTCTTAATATAGCTAATGTTATATCGAATATAGCTTATATACTATACACTTAGTATATGTAAAATACTATACACACACACATACACTATACTATATAAGGCAATTTCTTGTAAATTATCTAAGGCAATATATAATATAAATTTGAATTAAAATTTTTTAAGTCACAACTATATAATATAATTTACAAGAAATTGCCTTAGATAATTTTTTTTTTTAAAAAACCAGACCCACATACATATATATATATATATATATATAAACTATATAATTTACAAGAAATTGCCTTAGATAAAAAAATTTAAAAAAAATAGGCCAAGCCCACTTAGGCCCACACACACACACACACACACACACACACACACACATATATATATATATATATAAGCTATATAATTTACAAGAAATTGCCTTAGATAATTTTTTTTTAAAAAAAATAGGCCAGGCCCACTTAGCCTGTGACCATTAGTTCGGTAAAAATTGCACGGGGCGCCTTATTTGGTCGCCCCTATTTAACCTATACCCATTTTTTTAAAAAGTTTTAACTTGTGCCCACTTTTTAAACAACTTTAGCCCCCTTTCTCCTCCTCCCTCTCCCAGTGATCTCCATATCTCTCCGGAACTTAATATTGATATAAAATATAATGGCTCGATTTAAGAGCTGTTTCTTCCGACCACTGTTTCTTCCTCATCTTGTTGTTAGTCTTTTTTTGCTGCTTCTTCCGCTAAGGCACATAAAGAATCTTCCCCTTTTTATTCCATTTACAGCTTTGGAGACAGTGACTCTGCTTCTACTTCTGATCATTTAGCTGTTGTACTTGGTCTGCCTTCTCTACAACATTACACCAACGAAGGCATTGAGTTCGAGTCCGGTATTAGTTTCATGACGCCTGGAGAAGTACTTATGGGTCCCTTTTGTTGAACCAATAGAAGGCTGAAGTTCGCCTGTTACAAACAAAAACTTCGGCTATAGAGCTGAAGTTCGCCAGTTACAAACAAAAACTTCGGCTATAGAGCTGAGTTTCGCCAGTTACAAACAAAAACTTCAGCTTTAGAGCCGAAGTTCGCCAGTTACAAACAAAAACTTCAGCTCTAGAGCTGAAGTTCGCCAATTACAAAATAAAAACTTCAGCTCTAGAGCTGAAGTTCGCCAGTTACAAAACAAAAACTTCAGCTCTAGAGCTGAAGTTCACCAGTTACAAAAACAAAAACTTTAGCTCTAGAGCTGAAGTTCACCAGTTACAAAACAAAAACTTCAGCTCTAGAGCTGAAGTTGCCAGTTACAAATACAAAAACTTCAGCAATTACAAACAAAAACTTCAGCAAATAGAGAACAAAACTTCAGCTATGATGCTTAAGTTCAGCAATTACAAACAAAAACTTCAGCACACTATGTTCAATACACTTGTTACTTCAGTCCCGTCTACTAGAATGCTGAAGTTTTGCGTGATTCCCTTTGCTACTTTAGCCCCGTATGCTGAAGTTACGCGAAAAAGTGGGTACACTTACAATTTTTTTTGCAAAGCGGGCACAAGTTAAAACGTGACCCAAAAAGCGGGTATAGATCCAAATGACCCATTAGTTCGTGGTCCCGGTCCTGGTCTGATTACCTCCAAAATCCCACGAAGCTCGGGCCTACATAGGATTGGCCCACGAGGCCTATTTAGGCCCAGGCCCGGCCCGTTTGCCAACCTTAGCTCAGAGCGTTGAAAAAGCATTTTTGTGAGAAGGGTAATGAAGACCAGGAAAGAGGGAATCGTCAATCAGTCTTAAGGCATGGAATCAACATTCTCATTAGCTTTTTTAGTTGAAGTATAAGATATATGTACTGATAACCTGAACTTTCAATTGATGTGACCAGTTTTGTCTGCCGTTGGAGGAATTAAAGAAGCAGATCCCAAAGCCATGACCGATACATATATAGGCCGATGTGCCTTCTTATTTGATGACTTGATTCCATAAATTTTACCCGTTGGTGCTATATGTCTAAATGATACCTGTAAATTTATTTTAACTTGTCATCTTAATTGGACCAACACCTAAAATGTTAACCATTCTGTTGGATTTGATGAGATAAGTGGAAATCAAACATGAACAAGAGAGAACAGAAGGTTCAAGAGAGTGGGAGCTGCCAGATGTTTTGATAAAATGGGTATCTCAGTTCCAAAGTAGAATTACATGTCATTTACATACAATCCACGTACAACCGGGACAACCCAAATACAAAATACTAAACTGGAACGAAACATACATCATAACACTACAAATAATTTAAATACATGGCTCAATACAAGTCCAACACGTTACGTTCTTGTTTGACCAAAAAGTATTGAATCATTTTGTTAATCTAATTAAGTAAATAATGCTGGGTAAATTCTAGTTAAATGCAATAAGTTCTAGATCCAAGGTTGGTAACAAATAAAACATCTAGAAATTGTATTTAAAGCTATTTAAAGCAAAAGAGTGGTTTGATGATGTTCTTAAATACTGTAAATTCTGCCGAAAACAGGGACATAACTTGGTCAATTGTAGATCTTTAGAAAGGAAAAAAGCTGCTGAAAATAGGGAGTTAGAGGCCCAAAGAATGCTGAAAATCAAAATGAAGACAACAAACTACTTGGGGATCAATATATGGAATCTGGAAATAAACTTGGTACTGTTACTAATAGAGAAAATACTAGGCTGGTTGATCAAAGCAGTGAAACTGCCGCTACTATTTCTGCTGAATCTGTTGAAGCTGGAACGGATGCCGATGCTGGGCAATCTGAACACAGAATCAATCAAAAACAAAAAATGAAAATTTGAAAACTGGCACTGCTGTTGATAGGGAAAGTGTGAGACTAGGTGATCAAAATAAAGAATCTAAGGCTGCTGAATTTGCTGGACCTGCTGAGCATACTGATCAAAACAAAAATTATATCTCTGCTAAATCTGCTGCATCTGAAACTGCTAATAAGGCTCGACAACAAGAATACAGTTTCAGTCAAAAGGAAAAAAGTGAAAAACAGAATCCTGGAACTGCTGTCTATAGTGAAAATTTGAGACTAGTTGATCAAAATAAAGAATTTGAGGTTGATGAATCTGCTGAAATTGATAGAACTGGAACTGCTACTAATACTGAGCAGACTGTTAACAGAATTAGTCGAATGGAAAATAATGAGTCTAAGTGTGATAAACACTTGCAACAACCACCTAGCAACATCAGGGAGAGATCGAGGGAAAAAAACCAAAAAAAGCAAAAACAGAAAACTTCCTCAGAAGAGAGCCAAAGTCTTGTTCAAACCAATGTACAACTTATCTGATGACTCTAGCTGGAGGAAGAAACATAACAAAGAAATAAGCTTGGCCTTTCAAAACATGAACCAAAACAGTGCTGATGACAATATTTGTGAACATGGAGGTCAAGCTAATGTTTGTGAATTGGGAGATCAACCTAAAGCTATCAATGAGCAAACTAAGTCAGTCAACGACCAAACTGAGGCTGTTAATGATCAATTGCCTTCGAGATCTAAGTTAGACAAGCAGGAGCAGAAAGCTTATACCAATGATATTGGAACAAGGGAGAATATGCAGGAGTCCATTCGAGAAAATGAGAACATGAGTGAGAGGGGTGACTATAAAAACAGTCAAATTCAAAAGAGAGTCCTTAACCTAAGTGATTATGTCAATGAATCTACTAGTGTGCCTTCTGAAATCCGAAATCTTCCTGGGATTGAGATGGTAGTTAATCTCAATATGGAATCCAACTTAAAACAGGATAGATATGTGACTAGTCAACAAATAGAGGTGAGATCGCCTAATAGGGTGACAATTATGGTTCCTGAAGATCAAATACAAATTGATTCAAAGGATGAGTCTTTCCAGATCATATGCTCCAAAGAAAAGAAAAGGAAAAAAGTAAAGAAGAACAAAAACAAATATACTACACCTCCTAAAGGGGGACACCCATGCTAGCCTGAACTGTTTCCATGATAAATGCCATTTTTTGGAACATTAGGGGCGTGAATACCAAAAAAGCCTTATCAAGGCTCAAAAAATTGATCTCCATATATAAGGTGGAACTTGTTGCTATTATGGAGCCTTTTATTAGTACTAATCAAATAGAAAGGTGCAGAAGGTTCCTTGGTTATCAACACTGTATTTCTAATTCAAATGGTCAGATTTGGATCTGTGGTCATGCAACAACATGACTATTATTCTGAGCAACCATGATCAACAACTTACTATCAAATTGCATTATGGAGCTGCCAACAGTGATCTCTACATCACAGCAGTATATGCTAAATGCACTCCTAAAGAAAGGAGAGAGCTATGGAATAGTCTTGAGTTAACCAATCTTCATGTGAACGGTCCATGGTGCATTGGAGGTGATTTCAATGTCATTTTAGATTCGGATAAGAAAAAAGGTGGTAGACCTCACAGAATGAACAAAAGTCTAGAATTCAGCAATTGCATGGATAACTGTGGTATGATGGACCTGGGTTTTGTTGGTCCAAAATACACATGGTGTAACAATTGGGATCCAAGAAGAAGAATATGGAAGAGATTGGATAGAGTGTTTATCAATGATGATTGGTCCCGAATCTTTCAAAATAATATTGTCAATCATTTGGCTAGAATTGGCTCTGACCATAGACCTATTCTAATTCAATGCAAGGACTCTAACCAGGAGGGGCCTAAATACTTCAAGTTTCTAAATTTTTGGACTAATCAGCCAACGTTTTTGCAGGTAGTTGAAGAAGTTTGGAGAAATCATGTCAATGGAAATCCTCTGTGGAGACTTCATCAAAAACTTAAAATGCTGAGCAGAAGACTGACTCAATGGTCCAGACGACATTGGCAATGTTTTTAACCAAGATCAATACTGGGAAGATAAAATGAAATACCTTGAACAAATGGATCTTATGAACAGTAATGATACAACTAGAACTGAACTGAACAAAGGACAAGCTGAGTACATTAGATAGATGGGGATACATGATGACATTCTCAGACAGAAAGCTAGGGTGAACTGGTTTGAAGAAGGAGATGCTAACACTAAATACTTCCATAGCACCATCAGAGAGAGAAGGAGAAGGCTGAAAATTCTTAAAATCAAAGATCATAGAGGCCAATGGATTGAGAGGGATGCTAATATTGGCAAGGCAGTTGTCCATCACTTTCAACAGTTCTTTAACATCAATCATCACTACAATGATCATGATATCATCAACTGTATTCCTCGATGTGTAACTAATGCAGATAATGAAAGTCTCACTGTCATTCCTGACACAAAGGAGATTAGAGATGTTGTCTTTAACATGGATCCAGATAGTGCAGCAGGCTCGGATGGTTATAATGGGAAATTCTTTCAATCCTGTTGGGATATCATTAAGGAGGATATCATTGATTTTGTTCAAGCTGTTTTCAATGGCAGGAGGCTCACTAAATTGTTTTCTCATACTTGTTTAGTTCTTATTCCTAAAGTTGACTCCCATAATAGTTTCTCCGACTTGAGACCTATTAGTTTGAGTAACTTTACTGCCAAGATTATCTCCAA